GCAAAAGCTTATTACACTAAATGTGAATTTACAACTAAACATGAAATTAGACTGTATAATACTATATTATTTTTTTAAAGGATACTTTTCTTAGCATACATTTTATCCCAGGACAGGATATATACATAATTTCCCCCAACTACTAGCTCAATATATTGAGATTAAAATTTTTAAAGCTATTAAACCATTTTTAAATATATTAGTTTGATTTTAATACCTATATTTTTATATATAATCAATTTATGCTCAATCTTCCCCTTGCCAGGTACTGATATAGTCTTTTTAAAAATATTTTTTAATGTTTATTTTTTAGTTGTAGTTGGACACAATACCTTTATTTTATTTATTTATATGTAGTGCTGAGTATTGAACCCAGGGCCTCACACATGCTAGGCGAGCACTTTACCGCTGAGCCACAACCCCAGTCAGCCCTCTGACATAATCTTTATTGATTAAATAACTGAAAAGTAAAAGATGGCCACATACTAAAAGTGATCTTGCATTTTATAGCAAACTGGGTTTTCCCCCCACATTTTTAAATTGGTGCATTATAGTTAAACATACTGATGAGGTTTATGCCCAATTTTGTTATTTCAAAATACATTTAAAAGTTAAAAAGTCTTACATTCACCTTAACTAATATTTTTAGCTACATTGGGTGTAAACCAAAACTGTATAATCCATTATTTTCAATCATCTCCATTATGAACTAAAATCCTCTCAAAGTGAGAGCAGATGAACTTTCAGTTTGATTTGACACTTATATTCTCTAATTCTAATACTGAAGAAAGATGAATGTCATAGGTCTTGAGAAGCTGCTAAGAGATATGGCAGCACATAGCTTCTGTAACTGTTTGATATGCTTCAGTGAAAGCAGTCAGAGAGGTTAAATGTATACACTGTACAAGTCATCAACCATCAGAATGGTATTAGGGATGGGGGGCAAATGGTGATTGTCCTCACTGAAAGTAGTTGTCAAAGACGCAAGCAACTTCATGTTAATTAAAGTTAGAACCATTCACAGAATGTTTATATTTAAAAATATATACTGAAAATCTGTTATGTTCAAGATATTGAAAAAATTATTCTGAGTACTATATATGTAGGGATATTTCCTTTACTGTTTTCATTTAAATAGTACCTAGAAAATGAGTTTATCTGTATAGAAATCTGCCTTCTAAGTTTGTTTTACAATAACCAGAGAACACTATAACTTCTTGATAGTCAGCATATAGTAACATAGCTATTCTCATAGCTATCTCTTTTATTCTGTTAAATTTTTAAAATATTTTTGAATATTTAAAGGAAATTTTAGGAATAATTCTTCCAAAAGTAGTTTTTCCAATACTTGACTATATTGCAATACTAATAAGATTTAATTACAGAAAGAATGAGTATGTTATGTATTTTTTGGAAGATTCAAGAAAACTGTTTTGGGCACCTAAAGAAACCTGGGAATGGATATAGTTGACACATTAAGCACAAGATAAAGTGAATTTGCAGATAGAACACCATCACCAGTCTGATCATGACCTTACATTCTTGTGACAGTCTGAGATAAAGAAAATATTGTGTGATTTGAAAATGTTCAATATGAATAAAGCTGGGATAAACTGGCTATAAATTTTCAGTGATTTTTACTTTCGAGATTTGTGTTTTTAATATTCTAGCAACATGATATCTTTTTTATTCCAGTTTCATGACCCTATAGAATGGTCAGATGGACTTTATAACTCCCTTTAAAGTTACACTTTTAAAATTAAGTTGGTATTCTGATACTTGGTTCAGAATAAGCTAGAACATAAATGGAATACAAATTCATTATAGTGAATATGATAGATATATGTAATTCTTTTCTTGTTTTTCTTTTTTCTTTATTTTTTTTAACAGTACTAGGAATTGTACCCAGGGCCTTGTGCATGACAGACAAACACTCTTTGACTAAGCTACATATATCCCAAGCCCTTTTTATTTTTTATTTTGAGACGGTCTTGGTAAGTTTTGTCAGGTTGGCCTTGAACTTGCAATCTTCTTGCTTTGTCCTCCCTATTAGCTGGGATTATGGGCATGCACAACCATACCTGATTCTAACTCTTTTTGTAAGAAATTTTGTGTACTTAGGGCCTAAGTTTTACCTCTAGCTTTGTCTCTTTGTTAACTATAAACATTGAAAGTTTTTTTTTTTGGTTAATTTCTCTAAATCATAGTGTTCTTAGTTGTAAAATGGAGTTATTAAAACTTCTGTCTTAGAGGTTTTGCTGTTCTTTGTAAAGAGGAGGCATTATTATTTTGATCATGTTCTTACAGTAGGCTTATGATTATTTTTCCCTTTGTACTTTGTCCAGAGATTTCTTACAATACCAAGATTAGAAAAGAGCTGCCAGTGTGCACTTCAGKATGGATTGGAGTCTGAATGGGTGATCTGAATAGAGGCCAAATGAAGAGGAAATTTGCATACCACAAAAAATAAGAGTCAGGCTTATTTAACATATGTTCAGGGACTTGATTTTTTTAATGGGTCATTGGTTTAAAAGCTGCCTACCCTGTCTGTAATTCATATAATTTGATTACAGTTCCTATGATTCCTGGTCATAGAACAGCCAAGGAAGATACTGGAGTAAAAAAATTACTATTGTTTGGAAATAGCTTTTTTATATTTCCAATAAGTTAGCTTGGGAATTGGAAGTCCTCAGCTTCAGTTCTAAGTTAGTCACCTTTGGCAAATCATTTCTCTCTGAACTTCAATTCCCTTGTCTTTTTAAAATGAAGAGGATTGAATAAGATAAACTTTAAGCTACTTTCTAGCTATAGTACACCATGCCTATAAATCCTTGCTGTTGAGTCAACTGCCTTACATTTAGTATTTCCTGTGTGCTAGGTGCTGTATAAATAGTTTGCTATGAATGTTCTGGGGCCAACTTCCTGATACCCTTCAGATCAAGGCTTAAATACTGCAGGAATTAAAAGAATTAAGATGCTTAAGAAACAAAAGAGGTTAGACACTGGAGAGGGTCTCTGAATGGAATGAAACTAGCCATAATAATTGAAAACCCTTCAAATGTTTATAGCTATCTCTGAAATGTAATCAGATTGATAGGCATTGAAGTCCAAAAATGTTCCAGCTAGTTAAATACTTCACTCAAAGCTGGCCATCCTGACAACCTTAGTTTCTTAGGATAAGTTTTCCTGATTTAAATGTCTAGAATCAGTGCAGATACATCAACTATGTAATGATGTGTACAGATGCCAACTTTTGATTATCCAACTTGGTAGAAGAAAAAACATTAAGAATCCATTTAGGAACCTTCTCTCTTTTTCCACAGCTAGTTTATCTAAGTCCTTTTTGTCTAAACGTGTCATGTAGATGAGGCTGTTTAGTAGAACAGCAGAGAACTTATGTAGGAATGCAAAGATAATTAAAGACTGGCTGCACTATGGTGATAGTCATTGTTTGCCCTGTAGAATAAAATGATAGCATTTGTTCATTCAAAAGTGTTCATTACTTTTTATGTTCAAAACACAGACATATCTTCCCATTCTTTCTTTGTTTTCCATCAGCAATCATGAATCGTGTCAGATACATTGAAAAGAAGGTCAAAACTAAATAATGCATTTATATATCAAAAATATTTTTAGTATACAGATATTCACCCAATAATATATCCTTAAGGATGGTACGTCTGATGCATACACAAGAGAATACATATGCAGTCATCTGCATATACAAATGTGTTTTTGTGTACACTTCATATACGTAAAATATTTGCTTATATATGCTCCAAAAAGACACTTGAACGTAGAGGGTAAATAAACATGAGAAATCTAGGTTTATGCCTGCACATGTGTATGTTTGTGAATAAGTATGGGGGTGGGTRGAGGCAAGGCAAAATAAGTGAGAAGGAGGGCAAAGGGGGAAAAGATAAGGAAGGGAATAAACAGTGTTCTTAGAAGGAACCACAGTAGTTACTAATTTTCACTATAACTTCTACCACCCTATATTTGTTTTCTGCAGAGCTCTAGCTAGTACACCATTATTCAGCCTATCAGTTGATGTTATCAGTGAAAAYTGACTACCCACTAAAATTAAACAAAAAGAAAAAAGAATGACTTCAGTTTTAAAAATACAAAAACATTCACAGACATTAGAGGATAAGGGCTCCAACAACTGTGATAAAGATAACTTGCTAAAAGTCCTTCCACAGCAGGGGAAAAAAAAGTTAAATCTCAGGGATTTTTTTCCTCTACAGGCCAGAAACCCATTCCAAGAAGTACCAGCCTGTCTCATTTCAAAATGCTCTCCTTACCAAGGAAGCGGAAGTGGTTATATTCTTTCCCACCAAACCATGGGTGAATTATAATTATCCTACCTCTTGTGGGACAATGAAGCAGCAAACATCTGCTATACTGAATCAAAAAACCCACGAATGAAACTATACCAAACTCTGAATCATACCTGGACTCAGATTAAAGGATCTGTATTGTGTTTACTACCTTTTTTTCTTTTTCCTTTGCAATTTAAAAAGGATTTGTTAACTGTGGCACCAAGTTCTAAGGGGAAATATGGATTTCATTTGCTGAGTCCATTGACTAACATTGAAAAAATTACAGCTTTAAAGCAGATGAACAATAATAGTTACTAATATTTTGTTTGGTTTGTTGGTTTATTATCCCCTAACAGTTTTTTTTTCCCCTTTAAAAGGATGGTCTAGTAAGAAAATTTAGAAGTACATAGTCTTAAGAAATTTGGTCTTTTAGTTTTAGTTTCAATAACAAAGTAGAAATAAAATTTTAAACTTTATTTCCAAAAGAAGCAAGTTTCACAATTACTGTTACTTTTCATATGTGTCATGGTATATAATGTAGCACTTGGTAGTACTTAACTTTATTTGCCTGGGGTAAGGAAAGCAGAGTAATACTTCAAACTTAAGTTTTAGCTGTGAAAATGTATGTAATAGTCTACTTCCTTGAAAACGTTTTGTCTTTTCATTTTTTTTCATTAGAGGGCAGAAAGACAGACACGAAGTATGGATTCAGCTCAATACGCAGAGTTTTGTGAAAGTCGACAATTAAGCTTCTGTAAGTATGCATTTAACTACTTAATTATATGTTAATGTATAAGAGATTTGTGTTACAGATGCATAAAACTGACATGTTCTTTATTCCTTAGAAATTGGTGTATTTAATATATACATAGTTGTTGCTGTTACAGAACAACTTGCATTTTGGGGAAACCTAAAGATTTTACAACATTCTACTGTTTTGCAGTTAATACTATTAAGAGATTTTAAAGGGCACTAGTAATATACAGAGTTATGTTAATTATTCATATTACCTTTAGTCAGAAAAATTTTCATTTTAATTTCTTTGCCAGTTTCTTGGTCATATTTATGCTAGTGTTGCTGACTCTAGTTGATCCATAATGGACTCCAGTAGTACAGTCATGACATTTAAACGCCCCCAGTATTAATTATAATACCAAACTTTGTCTTTATGCATACTCATATTTCCACAAATGAGCATATCAATAGTCTTTTCCATTTTTGTCTTTAACCTCCTGCTGTGGCATGCATTCAGCATTACCACATTCATTAGTCCATGCTCTCCTAACATGAATGACCTACCAGTATTATTAGTGCTTACCCATCATTGAATACCAGCTTATTAAAAGTACATAAAGACTCATCGTAGTGAACTGGATTATGGAGCAAAACATCTTCACAGCAACTGTTCAGTGATGACTAAGGCTCTTGGGGTAAAGGTCAGAGTGAAAGTGTGATGAAAAGTCCAGTTAAAAATATGACAAATTAGCACATGACATTGATTTGAGGGATTATAGAAACAATGATGTCTTTAAACAAAAAGCTATTATCTGGTCATAATAACAAAGTATTTGATTTGGAAAAAATGAGAGCTTCATTTATAGATCATAAAGTACAARTGAATGACACATTTCAAACAGTGCCCCATGTAAATATCAGAAAAATATAGGAAAACATGTTTTGAAAGATTTTTTTTCTAACTAAATATACTTTCCAATCTGACTAACAACTTGGCATGCATCTGTGAAACATTAAGTAAATGACACTTCAGATCATGGCAATTTCAGCAAATGAGAGGTTTTTGTATCGTAATTTTTAGGTTTAAAAATGGCATTCAAGTCTTTTATAACTATAAATCTCCACTTTATAAAATAACATTTGATGCAACATAACTATTTTTTAAATCATATTTTAAATTTAATTCACTTAAAGGAATAGAAGTAGTATTTTACACTAAAACTGACAATCTTAAATTCTCATACCTTTCATTTGAAAATTAGATTTTTGTTCACTTTTTGCTTTTAACACAAAAACTAGATTAAAAGTAACATTTTCCCCTCTATAAAATAATTATGTTTTAAAAAGATTTTTTTTAGTTGTAGTTGGACACAATACCTTATTTTATTTATTTTTATATGGTGCTGAGGATCCAACCCAGAGTCTCGCAYGTGCTAGGCAAGGGCTCTACTGCTGAGCCACAACGTCAGCCCCAATAAAATAATTGTAATATAAACAATACACTATGCTTAATTTTCTTTTCTGTAGGAAAGAAGAAATTCATTATTTAAAAATATTTGTTCACATGGTGTCCATAGAGGCTTCATTATGAAACCTTGATGGAATGATCTGTTTTATATGATAGAATACTGAGGTTGAGAATACATTGTACAAGTGAGTCACCAAATTTAGAAAGCCATTGCTGTACTGGTTAGAAAGTTAGGTTTTTTTTCCTTCTTCTCCTGATAAATAATCACCAGAATATAGGAATTGTTATTCTACCATATATGTCTTCTTACATACTTGTTCATGGCAGTTACTGGTATTATTTTAAAATAGTGAGTATTACTTTTTGGGCAACGGAGCAAAACATCTTTACAGCATGAGTTCAGTTATGACTAAGGCTCTTGGTCTGTCTTTTGTTTGTATATTTATATAATTCACATAGTCATTTTACTTAAAGTCTTTAACACCTCCCACCCCTTGTTTCTGTGCGTGGGCTCTTTCTCATTCAGCGAGGAGGTCCAMGGAACAGGGTAGAGGAGAATGTGGCTGCAGAGTCGCTAATCAAGACCTCCAGAGACCAAGCAGGAAGCAGGTCTGATTTATTGCGCAGTTACCATGTATATATATATTCAGGCAGTAGCTAAGCAGATTACAGGCAGCCACCAATACAATTTCTGGCCAACTGTTCCTGCAGTGACCAATCGAGGAGTGGGCATATAGCAAGTGCAGGGACTGCAACACGTGGCTTCATGCTCAGGGCTGTGCCTACGGGGTAAGTGGTTTCCACTTACATGCCTAGCATGGGAGGATGTTTTGCCACTCAGAAGCCCTTAATGTATGCCATGTATGCAGTACTCCATGCACTTGTCCTCACTTGTCTGTCTGTCTTTCTGTGTGTCTCTTGGTTTTTTKTTTTTTTTTTTTTTTTAAGTACTGGGAAATGAACCCAGAGCCACATCCCAAACCACCCCACACTTTTTGTTTGAGACAGGGTCTAAGTTGCTGAAGCTGATCTTAAACTTATGATCCTCTTGCCTCAGCCTCCCAAGTTTCCAGGATTACAGGTGTGTGTACCCCCACTGGCTAAATCTTTTAAAACTTAACATTAGCATTGACTCACAACGGTTTTTCTGGCAAATCATATTGCAGTTCTTTCAAGCATTATTTTTATTTTTTTCTGAACAGTTATTACCTAGATTTTTAAAAATAAATCAGATCAAAGAGTCTCTTTTAACTGATGAGTTCAAATTGTATCTACATTTGATTTTATATGTACTGTTATATTTTGTGTTTTAAATGTACTATGTGTTTTTATTTATTTTCCTCCTCCTTTTCTGTGTTCTGTTGGATTCATATGGTTTTATTCATTTCAATTTTTCTCTACTAGTTTATTTATCTTATATTCTATTGTGCCATTTCAATAACTACCTTTATTTTTTAAATTTATACCCCTGATAATATTTTTAAATATTAATAATTTAAACTTTCCTTTGGGCCTAATGTCATTATTCCTGAGACTCTGAGTGATCAAAGTACTCATTTTTGTCTTGAAATGGCTTTATTTTCTAGCCATAATTAAATGATTATCAGGTGGGCAGGAAATTGTGTATTATAGTTATTTGATATATATGATTCCATTCTCTTTTTGCCTCTGTTAGAAAACTGCTGTCCATTGACTTATTCTGTATTTTTCTTGTGAGAGTAGCTTCAAGAGAATGAAGACATTGCCTGAAGGCCCTCTGTTATTAGGAAGTGAGCAGGCTAGATAACCAACCCTAGCTGCCCATTGAAGACATATAGAAAGAAGGGAATAAGGAACCCTTACTCTGGAGGTTCCAGAGGAAACCTTACCCTTGAGGAAGGCTATTTTCAATCAATGCAAAGAATAGTAATTTCAAAGGGTTGAAGTCACAGAATTCTTGGTGAGAACAGATGTAGTAGAAATCATGAAATATTAGGCAGGGGTGGGAGAAAAGAATTTTGTTAGAAACTTAAATTTGGCTAGTAATTATTGATAAGAGATATAAAAAGTGTTTGAGATTAACCTTAAATTTCTGTATGAAATTATAATGTAAAATTGTTCTAAGTGTAGTCTAGTATTAGAAAGCTGATAACACTAGAACTTTTGGACATTGTTCAGAATTCTACTTAAATTATTAGTCAGTTTCCAGATTACCCATTTTCCTGATATATGGGGAAGAGGAGTAAAGAAGAAACTCATTTGTTTAGAAGCTCCTTCAGCTCTCGGTGAAAATGAACTGCTACAGCTGGGGATCATTGTGCTGCTTTTGGTAAAATCAATAATATCCTGGAAGCATCAGTCTCTGAAGCAGTCCTTTCCCAGATGACAGGGAACAAATGGCTCAGAGAATGTTCCTTCACTTGTTGATGGAACAGCAATAATGCAAGTGGTTTATGGGAAATCTGTGCATCTTTTTTGATACATAGAAAAGTTTGGACTCTGCCTTTTTTTAAAGAAATATCTTTTTCTTTCCTTTCTTCATTTCTTTTAGAAATACTTTCTTGTGAGTCTGCCAAAGAAAGGCATTATTTTATTTTCTGAGGATACAATGGTGGAGTCATAGTCCTAGTTTCTGTGCTTATAGTCTAGTAAGGAAGCTACTAATTCTTTTGCTTCTATGCATAGGTCTGACCTAATACTAATAATCATCCTTTTCATAACTTTCAAAGTAAAATTTTTAGAGCATAGTCACTAAATATCTGTTTCTGTGTTCCTAATGATCTGCCAAAAGGAGAAGTAAATAAGGTACATTTCATTGATCTTGCCAGATTGCTTCCTGGTGACTTTAATTCTGTCAGTAGTATTTCAGAGATGTCTAGCAAGTGTTCATGAGCTGTTGCAGCTTAYTAGATAGATGGAATGTTTCATGTCTGAATATGTGGAAGATGAGTTACTGTAGGGAGATAACTTTAAGGGGGCTAATCATAATTCTGCCACATTTGACAGCTTTAGATATAGCAGGATTTCATGTCTTCTGTGATTTATTTAAAACAAAACTCTTCTGTATATGGAATCCATGAAGATTCTATCTGTAAGAATCAAAATGCCATGCTCTAAGTTATTAAGTGTTCTGTAGACCAGTGGGATGATGTTAATCTAAAGAATAATAAGTAGCTTTTTTTAAAGATCATGTAGATTTGATAAAAAAATTTCCCTATCAATCATTTTCCCTCTAGGGTTCTATTTAAATTAGTAATGTCTAGGGAAAGCTCTATATCAAATTAGATTTTTCTTAGTACTATGGCAGTTTGGATATAGTTAATTGAAGGTCCCTTATGTTTCTTGGTCCCATATATGCTTGGTACTGTTAGGTCTGCAGAGAGATCTGATTCATGATCTTTGCCCACAAAGAACTTATAATATGGTTTGAAAAATGATAAGCACATATGAAAAATACCCTGTATTTCAATACATGGCTAGAGTGTGAAAGTATATCCATGACTTATATGGTCAGAATTCATATGAATGATGAAGAGAGATGGGGGAGCAATCCATGGAAGGAAAGGAACAAGAATGACCATAAAAAGGATTAAACCCAAGGCCACATGACAGCTAAATAGGGAAGCAATGTAAAGAAAGGCTGGAATCAGCCTAAATAGTTTTGAGAGTCAGGTTTAAGAATTTGGGCATCTTAATCCAGAAAACATAGCTACAAGTTTAAATCAGGCCAGATATCAATTTATTTTATTCTAAATTAAATAAAGGGGAAGGCAGAAGGCATGGGGTTATTAATGATGGTGGAATGTGATGATCATTATTATCCAGAGTACATGTATGAAAACACGAATTGGTGTGAATATACTTTGTATACWACCAGAGATATGAAAAATTGTGCTCTATATGTGTAATAAGAATTATAATGCATTCCACTGTCATATATAAATAAAAATAAATAAATGAATTCACAACTTTGAATTTTTTTGTATGATAGATACATTTTGAAAAGTATTGGATGGGCAGTTTCTGTATGTTTCTTTCTTCATCATAGGCTTTCTCCTAGTTTTTTATTTCCACGAGTATAAATTAAAGTTACATCAAGCTAGCATGATAGTGCATGCCTGTAATCCCAGTGACTCTGGAGGCCGAGGCAGGAGGATTGCAAGTTTGAAGCCAGTGTCAGCAACTAAAGAGACCCTAATCAACTTAGAGATTTAAAAAGGCTGCAATGTGACTTAGTGGTTAAGCACCCCTGAATACCAAAATAAATAAATGAAAATAATAAAAAACAAAAACTTTACATCAAACAAATCTCTGTTGATGCAACTTAAGCAGTGGCCAGTGGTAACATATTTTGAAGCAATATGAAAAGTACTAAACTTTAAGTAGTTTAGTATACTGTCATGTACCACAGATACAGAATAAATGCATAGGGATTTCTTAAAGGCAGCCATTGTGTTGCGTTGTAATCAAGGGATGAAACTTGTACATCTTTTCCTTACTTTGGATGGGCAGGGGATGTACCAGAGATTGAACCCAGGGGCATTTAACCACTGAATCATATCCCTAGCCTTTTTTAATTTTTAATTTTGAAACAGGGTCTTGCWGAGTTGCTTAGGATTTCCCTAAGTTGCTGAGACTGGCCTTGAACTTGCCAATCCTCTACCTCAGCCTCCTGGGTCTCTGATATTCGAGACCTACTACACCACTGCACCTGGCAAAACTTGTATTTCTTGGGTCTAGAAAACCTCAAGGTCAAAACATTGCTTTGCTTTTATGGGCATTTTTCTTTGTATACAATTCTCAGGAAAGGTGTTTTTCAATTTATGATTGTATATGCAGTATTAGGATACTTTAAAAATTAAATTTTTCCACTTGTTTTTTAATGACTAGCCAAAAAAGCTTCCAAATTTCGAGACTGGTTGGACTGCAGCAGCATGGAGATAAAACCCAATGTTGTCGCTATGGAAATTTTAGCTTATTTAGCATATGAAACAGTGGCACAGGTAAAAATTCTAAACTGTCTGTCATACCACACAGGGCTGGTTTCTCATTTCTGTCCTTGATCAGTTCTGCTTACACCCTCTGCTCTACCATCCATGAATTCTTTTCTGTGACAGTTATATCATTTACTAGAATTTAGTTCAGTTATGTTTCTTTGTATCCTTAGCTCTGGTGGGTGTTAGGATAGAAAAAGATTCTAATTATTCTTTTTTTATAATTTTTTAATTGTAGATGGACCCAATACCTTTATTTTATTCATTTATTTATTTATTTTTATGCTGAGGATCCAACCCAGTGCCTCACACTTGCTAGGTAAACTCTGTACCACTGAGCCACAACTGAAGCCCCTCTAATTGTTCTTGAAATTGAACTCTGAAGTCCTCACCTGCCTTTAGAGATACTGTTTGAAGTTTGGAAAAATGCCTGTCTAGGTATGTGAGGTCTCCTAGTGCTCAACAAAATCTGGATCTGGGATCACTGCCATCTGCCAGTTTCTCCAAGTATTACCATCCCCTCTGTACATGTTTACAGTGGGAACTCCAAGACTACCCACTTAGAACAGACCTACTAAACTAGAATCTATGGGCTTGTAGCCCAAAAATCTATATTTTAAAATGCTTCCCTACTGATTCTGAAATGAGCTTTGAGAATTACTTCCCTAGAAAGTCAGAATATATCATTTGTATTCATAAGTAGGTTATGAATTTTATCAATTAGTGAAAGTCTGTGCTCATATCCACAATACAGATTTTTAGATAAAGTATTATCAATTAACATTTTGAATGTATTGCTTTTAGGTTCACCACTTTAATGGTATTCATTATTTTCATTGCTCTGATCTTCTAGTTAGTGGATCTGGCTCTTCTTGTGAGACAGGACATGATAACCAAAGCAGGGGACCCCTTCAGTCATGCCATTTCTGCAACTTTCATTCAGTATCACAACTCTGTTGAGGTAAGTATCAGAAAATCTGACTTTAAGACATTGGTGAATTTTGTTATGTATCTGTTTTTACATTAGTAGTTCTTTGAAAAAGATTAGTAAAGTATAGCCTTCAGTCAAAAAAAACTTTAAAACATACACCAAATAAACATTTATTGAGAACTTACTATATGCTAGGACTTAACAGTCTGCTTACTAGAACAATTTTTGTTTCAATTTTTCTTTTCCTCACTTGACTTTCCTAGACCTTCAGTAAAGGTGGGATATTTGCAAAGCATTTTTCATTTCTACAGAAAATAAACAACTGGTTTAGTTAATTGAATAACATTRGGAAAAAATTATTTCTTTTTGCCTCAAAGATGATAGAATTTGGCTGGGATGTAGCTGGGTGGTAGAAGAGTGCTTTCCTAGCATGCAGAAGGCCCTTGGTTCAGTCCCCAGCACCTACCCATAAATTAGAGAATTATTATTCATATAATTACTAACATTTATTGAAATTTATTAAAAGCTTCCCATTTAATTTATTGATTCATCTATAAACATGATTTAAACACCCTTGGCTCATTAGCTTTAGATTAGCCTATCATGTAAAAATCAGATTCTTTTCTGATCTATTTACGCTGATGGGCTTCCTATTTATGGGGACTATAAAGTCTTCTTTCCAGTTTTAAACATTTACATAATAATTTTCCACAACTTTTAGTATATCGAATATTTTCTGTAAACAGCATGTGCTTAAAAGCCAGAAATAAAATATAACATGTTGAATATATTTGCTAGTATCTGACCTCTTTTTTGCTAACAAAAACAGTAGTTTCTTACAGTTAAGTCAATAACTATAGAAAAGACATCAAAAATAGTAACATCCAAATGTATGATCGCAAAGTGGATTTTAGATCACGTGAAGTGAAATGTTTAACCTGTTTGAAAATTACAAAGCCCTGTGTTACATCTGTACCTAAATTATAAATTTCTGCTCCTTGTTAATATCTATAGGTAAGACTGATGACTAAAATAGTTTCTAGGAAATAATTCTAATTTGTTTTAGGCCACACCTCTTRAGAATCTGATGAAGAGTAAAAACCTCTTTTTCATAAACATATTTGCCAATTTTGCATACAATTTTATGTTTTTCAGACACTTCTGAATTCATCTATGATCTAAGGAATCTATAAACCCTATGAATCCCAGGTTTAAATATCTTACTTTACGGTATTTAGAAAATATATTAAGATATCATCTTATTACATACTTTTATTACATAAAAAGTCAACTTGATGTCTTTTTATACCTCTTGGAGAATCAGATTGGCTTGAAATCCAAGTAGGAATTAAATGTTTATGCCCATTAAAAAACCATTTCTTTTCTTGGAAAAGGTCATACATTATTATCAGCCAACATACTTTAAAAATCCCTAAAGCTTACTTAGTTGATTAAACACTGTTTTCTTTATGTTTCAAACCCAAATTATGATGTCAAAGAACACCCTTTAAAATGTCTTTGATGCACATTCACTTTATGAATGTGTATATAAGTATGCTTTCCATTAACATCAGACAAATTTGTTTTAACATTTCTAATTGAGGAAATTTACTGTGAACATAACAAGGCTAGTTTTCCCTTAACATTCAAGTGATTGCTTGCATGGCTAGGAAGGTTCTTTGTGTCCCCACCCTGCTTGGTTCTCCAGGGTGGCCAAGCTGCCCTGGGCAACTGCTCAGCAACCACAGCCTCTGTTCCCAGCTACATGGCAGTTAAGAAAAAAAATGTCCTATGTATGCTGGATTTCCTGGGCTCTCTGGGAGGTGGGAACATGAGTGTCATTGAGCATCCTTACAGATTATTAGTATAAGCCTCAAGCTTTTCCTGGCCTGGCAGACACATTTCTTCCTCTGTGACTGGTAGTCAAAGTGGACATTCATAAAGACTGTCTTCTTTACTGCCCTTTATTACCTAATGAAACACAAAGAGAATGATACTATAAATCAGAAATCTTAGTCATCAACACTGCAAATCAGCAGCCAATCTCTAGGGCCTGCACCTTAAGTAATGTACCAAACAATTCAAGATAAAGTAACAAAATGAGTGGCCCAAACAGAGAGTGCAGGGGTTGAAATAAAATCTCTGATTCTCTCTCTTTTCCCTCACTCACACACAAACACACACACATTCCCCAGTTACAGTCAGAAAGCTGAGTATTAAAGGAATGAGAACCTCAAAGTGGGGAAGATGTTCTGGGCCTGGGATGAAGCATAAGTATGATTATACATGGGAGGAAAAAAAAACAACTCTGATTGAAATATTCAAGCAAAACATTCATTGAGAAGGGATAGTAGCAAGTTTGGTTAGAAAATCATGGCCCAGATTATATAGGGTCTTAGAGTGCAGGAATCATTAAGAAGAATTTGAATGATTCTTGACTGAAGGAAAATGTGTTCAAAAGGATGTTTTAAGAAGATCCAAATGATTGTGCTATGTTTAGTTGATTGGAATTGAAAATTCAGCATCATGATGTTAATGTTCATTGCCTTACATTTAAAGGAAGATGATTCTTGAATACTAACCATAGATGGGATTGAGCAAGTTAAGCTTGGGTTCCTCATACTAGATTAGCAAATTTAATATTAATTCAAGTTAATTTTCCAGGTTTTGTCCTAACATATGATTTGTACAGAGGTAGCTATGATCCCTAAGAGCTATGCAAATATTCCAAAAGAAAAAAAATTCAAATATGAGACACTTCTGTTCCAAGCATTTTGAATAAAGAGATACTCAACCTGTATCTTGTTTTTCCAGGAACAAGTCATGGCAGGTTAGCCTCATTCCCTTTTGTTTAACAGTGGTTCTCGAAAACATCAAGGAAATACTCTTAAAACCAGCATCCAAATTTTCAACAAATCATTTTACAAAGTGTGGCATAAGTTTTTAATACATTATAGAAATCATGGACAGTAGATAGTATGGCTGGTATGGTTGATAGGATGAGGAATGTTTAGATTAATCATATTATACTAAAAAAAAGAAAGATTTTTTTTTGCTTGTATATGTCTGAGATGGCAATATTGTGATGCAACAAAGATTTTTTTTAGTTTAATTTATTTTAGGTGCCATCCTTATTGGATTGACATTTAGCTGGTACAGAATGTCTAAAGGAAAGTAATGGAGATGGTGTRTTTGAAGGAGCATAAAAGCACATCTAGTAATAACTGGTTGGAATTATTTAGAATATTTAACCATAAAAATGAGGCTACAATGTATAGCAGTCTTCAATATTGAAGTACTTCTACATGAAAGAAAGGACAGACATGCATTCATGACCCAAGAAAGTAGATAGTTATGAGGGATATCAGAAAGGAAAGGAAGAAAGGAAGACATTGCATGTGGAAAGGACTAGAGTAATCCACAGTGACTCTAAGGGTGAGTTTGAGTTACTGGGAAAATTCTAGTCACCATTGTCACAAATATCATCTAAAAAGCATCATTTTAAGGAAACTTGTGAGACAGGTAAGTTTGAAATGCTAACAAAATTTCCATCTATCTAACAAAACCAGAGGCTAAAAGTTTATACATGAAGAATTCTGATTTTGTCTAAGTAATTAGATTAAAAATTAATGTGTTTAGAACCTCAACAACAAGATAGTCATTTCTATTGACTACATAGGAATAATTTGTGTTTTCATATTTGAAAGTCATAAGTAACATGAAATTCATTAGCTATATTTTTTTAAAATTGTAATGTTAGTAAAGGGCCTGGTTATTTATTACAAAGCCATGTCTCTTTGGGCAGGGGTCTTGCATGAAGTCCTGCCCCGACTCCCCTGAGAACACACCACCTCCTACACCAACAGCTCCATCATCTGGATCCCAGCACTCTGGGAGAACCACATCAGGATCCCTAGGGAGTGGGAGTGCTACACAGGACTCTACTAAAACCAAGCAGAGGAAGAGAAAAAAGGTCAGTGATGATTTTTTTTTTTCCTGGTACAGAGTGAAAAGAGCCTTTAAGTTTCTTTCAGAGATAGGAAAAATGTACCGTTTTTCTCTCAACTCAAAATATTAGAATTACCCAATTTACATTCACCCATTTTCAATGAGTTCTACTTAAACTTTTAAAACAACTGTAATCTGGATAAAGAGGATGCTGATTTTCTCTAAAATTTTACTATAAAAATCTTCAAACATACAGAAGATAAAAGAATTATAAACACTTCATATCTACCATCCAGATTCTGTAATTAACATTTAAGTATATTTATTTACTACATATTTACTGTATAACATTTACTATATCTATTTATCTAATCATCCCCTTTATTCTGTAGTTTCATTCTTTTTAATGATACATTACGAAATAAGTTGCGGACATCAGTGCATTTTATACCTAAACAGTTTATTGTTTATAATTTATGGTTCCTTTTTTTAAGGTAAAATTTATGCACAGTGAACCATTTGATTCTTTTTTTAAAATATTTTTTTAGCTTCAGATGGACACAATATCTTCACCTCTATTTCTATGTGGTGCTGAGGATTGAACCCAGTGCTTCATGCATGCTAGGCGAGCCCTATACCACTGAGCCACAACTCCAGCCCCTTGATTCTTATATGTACTACAAAAATATAATTTTGACAAATACATTAACCTATGTTTTTCCAAAACTCTTTCAAGATACAGAACATTACCATCAGCTCAGAAAGTTCCTTCATTTTTTCTCCCAATTATTGACACTATCTTCTGAAAAGTAACCACTGTTAATAATTTTTTACKATAGATTGGTTTATTATATTCTAGAACTTTAAATAAACAAAATATAATATGTACTCTTTTGTACGAAATTCTTTTACTTAGGAGGTTTTTTTTTAAATTTGTTTTTCAGTATAATGTAGTCCTCTTTATTACTGATGAATATTTCATTATGTGAATATGTCAGCTTATTCATTCTTTTGTTGGTGGATACTTGGAATATCACCAGTGTTTCAGGTAATGTGAATAAATCTGTTAGGATATTTCTGTGTTACTCTTTAAATACAAATGTTGTCATTTCTTTTAGGTAGACAGCTAAGAAGAAAATTGCTGGTGGTAGAGTTATAMTGCAAGACCTTTTTTTTTCCCAAAAGGATTAAACCATATTATACTTCCACGAACAATATTTAAGAATTCCAGTTGTTCCACATCCTGATAAACATTTTATGTTGTCATTGTTTTTACTTCCAGCCATTCTATTGAAAATTTAGTGGTAACAATAGTTTGTGCATTTCCCTAATGATGTTGAAGACTTTTTTTCCATTTACTGCTTTTTCATTCATATAGCTTCCTCTGAGAAATAGCTGTTCAAATTCTTTATTCAGGTTTTTATTTTTTGTTAGTTTTATTATGTTTTTGGGGGGAGGTCATGTTGACTTTCATTACCAATTCATAGGGATTTTTTTGTCAATTTTTATTTTTGGTGTTTTTTTGGTACTAGACTGAACCCAGGCCAGGGGTGCTTTACCCTTAGCTTTTTATCCAGACCTTTTTGTTTTTTTTATTTTGAGACAGTGTCTTGCTAAATTGTTGAGACTGATGCAAAACTTGCAATACTCCTGCCTCAGCTTCCCAAGTGGCTAAAATTACAGGCATGCACCTCCATGCCCAGCTATCAATTTATAGGAGTTTTTTATATATCTTGAATTGTCCTTTGTCAAATATATACTTTTCACATATTTTCCCAGTTTATGGCATACCGTTTATTGTCTTAATGGTATCTTTTGATGAGCACAAGTTCTGAATTTCTCAAGAAGTCTTATTGGGTCCTAGCCCAAGTCAGGGTGATATTTTATAGTTTTAGTTCTTGCTTTAGTTTTATTAATTTGGGCAAATTAAGTTTTGTATATGTATAAGTTGAGGCCACATCTGGTTTTTACATATGGATATCTAGTAACTGCAGAACTTTTTGTTCTTTTTTTCTCATTGTTTGACAGCTTTGTTGAAATGAAAATCAAATGACCATGTATCTATATGAATTTATTTTGGGGAATTCAACTGTTTCATTGGTTTGTCAGTATTGATTTCCCATCTTGATTACTATAGCTTTATAGTAGTATAAATTCTCAAACTGTTATTTTTAATCTGTTTGGGTATGTTATGTCCTTTGTATTTCTATAAAAATTTTAGCAGAAGCAGAAAAAAGAAAAAAAGAAATTGTTGGTGGCATGTTGAAAGGGATTGAATTGATTGCTTATATCCATTTGGGGTGTGAATTTCTAAATGATATCAAGTCTTGTAATCCATGGATGTGAAATAATCTATTTATGTTTATGAAATTTCTCTTTTTCTTACTGGCATCAGTATCCACCCTGATGTCTGTTTTATCTGATTGATGTAGCCATTCCAGCCTTCTTACGTTTCTTTTTGTTTGTTTGTTTGTTTTCTTTTTAATTCAGTTGCTTTTGATCTCATTGTGTCTCTGTCTTTAAATTTAAAGATAAATATATTTGAAGTGTATCTCTTGTCAACAAACAGTTGGGTCTTACTTTTTTATCTTTGCTTTCTGCCTGCATATTTTAATTATGGTAATTAATTCTGTGACATTTAATGCACTTATTGACATGGTTGGATATGGGACAACTACTTTCTGTATGTTTTTAGCTTTTATTTCTATTTGTACTTTTTGTTTCTCTTTTTTCCATATTGCCCTCTTTTGGGTTAATTGTATAACTTTTTAGAAATTAATTTTAAGTATCTGTTGGTTTCTTTATGATAACCCTTTCAATGACTCTAGTCTGCTATATGTATTATTCTTCTATAAGATTTAAGATTTCAAATTTAGCAAAAGATGTAGCCTACCATTATAGATGAGGAAAGAAGAGACAGTTGTCTAAGATTCCACATCCTTCTTAAACATTGAATTACTGTGGTAAAGGGAAGTTTGAAAAAAGATAGGACACTTTATAAGTTGAGAAGAAAACAGAATAAGTAAAAGATCTAGGAACAACTGAAGTTTCAATGTAACTGCCTTCTACCACAGTTGAAAGTTCATGCTTCTGAGAGATTTTGTTCAATATAAACCAGCAAAGACAAACAGGCAGTAGTAGATTTAATGTGTATGATGTTCATACTTCAGCTTCCAATACCAACCATCAGTTTTAACGTGAAGAAACAGAAATAAAAGATTTTAAAGTCAATGAAAAGGAAATTTAAAAATGAGTATGAATGCAGCCAAGAGAAAGAGGACCTGACACAGGGAGAACTTACCAAATAGAATTTTATCATTTCATTTAAGGTAATATAGAATTCAGTTCCCCACAGATATCTCTGATAGCACGGTATAGACAACACTACTCAGTATTTTGTCAAATATGTGGATTTAATTTTTGAAAATTTCAAGAATACCTAAAATGTGAACATAATGAGGATGGAAAAGATGAAGTGACATATAAATCTAACAGTTCTCACATGTATTTATAACATATATGAGATCCTTAATAACAGAGAACAAATATGTAAATTTAATATTAAGTTTTCTTAAGTAATTTTTAAAATATTATAAAATGCTAGAATTGTTGTTAAATTAAAAATTCTAAACTTGTGACAAATTTTTAATTTTAATAGATCATGAGCACCTCATTAAGGAACTGAACATTTAAAAAAAATTTTCTTAGTTGTTGATGGACCTTTATTTTATTTATTTGTATGTGGTACTGAGAATCGAACCCAGTGCCTCACACATGCCAGGCAAGCGCTCTTCCACTAAGCTACAACCCTGCCCCAAGGGACTAAATATTGATGGAAGATATTTGTTGAAGTAGAAAATAAAGTCTAGGAATATAACATTTCAGGTTAAAATACTCCATTCCAAAGAACCCTGTGGGTAAACCAAGACAATGTAGAAGTACACATGGTAACTTCATTCATACTAACGTTAACAGTTGTTTAATTATGGCAGATGAACATGAAATTGGCAAAGTGGATAATCTATTGACTTTTTTCTCAAAAATGAATTTTTTATTTGTTTATAAGTTAATATCACCTTTTTTGTCAAGGGCATTAAGATTCAATCAGGCAAACTTACTTGTCTCCATATCTTACAAATAGCCAAAGCAAGGCAATTTCTAATTTGTGATTCTGGCATTGCCCATTAGGACTGCTATAACAAAATGTTTTAAAATTCACTTAAAGGCAGTAGCAATGTATTTTTCACTTTCTTTAGTCTGGAAATCCAAGATCAAGATGCTGGCAAATTCATTGTCTGGGGAAGGCTTAACTTCCTGGTTCACAGTTAATCATCTTCTCACTCTGACCTCACATGGTGAAAGGGTTGAGGGCTCCACCCTCGTAACTTCATCACCTCCCTTAGGTCCTATGTCCTAATGCCTTGGGGGGAACACAAAGATTCAAACCCTAGCAGTCTCCTACTTCAGTGTTCCCAAGTCCTATTTGATTGCCATGCTGGTGGTTCTGAGATTTTATCAAAGTGTTCTATACCAAAACCAAATTTATTAGAGGATATAGAGAAAAGGTATCATTTCTGTTGGCCAGGGAGAAAATAAATGAAAACTAAATCCAATTTGTAGGTAGAAAAGAGTGAATTTAGGAGAAACTGTAGAGGAACACATGGACAGGAGTTCCTCTCTGACTTAGCTTATCGGATTCTGACCCTCTCAATGCCTTTCTTTTCACTTGAGATTATACTGGAAGACTTACTCTTTAGAGTCCAGCCCAGGTAAATTCTTGTATGTATTTTACTGCAAATACATAGAATGTCTCAACCTCCTTCATAAGTAACTGTGAAGCCCAGCAAAAAAATGAGCCTATATTAGTCATATTCTTATTGTGAAACAGAATAGATTCACAGAAGAGTCTTTACCCTCATCTAGGGACCTGATGATTGCATTTATTCTAATATATTCCAACTGAAAGTAACTGGAATGAGAATTTAAAAATCATTCAAAGAAACCTTGTGTACTTTTATGCAAGTGCCAAAGTGAGGATTAAAATAACCAAATTTGTGTTGTTATGGGCATAGAAGATACATTATTTAGGGTATTTTTGGAATGAAATTGAGAAAGAWCTTCTAGAGTATGTCCTATTGGCTTATTTAAAATTTAGTTATAATAATAATCAAGATCTATTTTGAATTTTTATTTGTTTTAGGCTCAGCTTGAGTAACTACCAGATATTCTTGTAGAAATTTTAAGAATATTTTACCAGTTTGTAAAGGAAAGCATGCATGCAGTATAAAGGTACATTTTTAAAGTACAGAAGAATATGTAATGAAATGCCAGTCTCCATGTAACGCCCATCCTTCTGCCACCCACTTAATATCCATGAGATAAGCATTGTTACTCATTTTTGGTGTACCCTCACAGTGTATTTTATGTGCTTAAATAAGTATATAATAGTCTTTAAAAAAAAGTAGTAACAGTGCCACACAATTAGATACTTTGCATTTTTTTCATATAATATATCTTAGAAATAGTTCCATTGGGAGTGATTATGAAATGGCCCCGAAGTGGTTGCTGTGGTTTTCTTCTTCCAATAGCTGTATCAAAATTTATTTAACCAGTCCCTCATGGTGAACATTTGATTCATCAGTTCAGATACTACAGTAGTACTGTAGTGAATATTGTGTGTGTGTGTGTGTGTGTGTGTGTGTGTGTGTGTGTGTGTGTGGTTTTGCACCCATGTTAATAAATTCTTCAAGGTGAAATTGCTGGGTTAAGAGTTTGTGCTTTTTCATTTTGGTAAGATTTTGCCAAAGTATGATCCAGAGAGGTTACTGTCCATAAACTTTTATTACCTTCCAAGAATTATGAGCCATCTGATTCAAATGTATGATATGTCAAGATCATTGTACTGTCGTGTGTAACTAATTAAAACAAATTAAAAAAATTTGGTAATCATCAAGAAAATTATAGTAATTATAATAGTAATCAGAATAATGATTAGTTTTAATTAGGTGACTATGAATGAGTTCTAGATCACAGTCAAAGGAATATGTGAGCTGAATATTTCTTTCCATTGATTCTTTAAGATTGATGATATGGTGTCTGGTATCTATTACCTACTATAAATTAGCTTACCATTTCAAGAACATGGAGGTTCCATTTTTAATCCTTAATTTAAATAATAATGTAGTACTAAGAATAGCTAGCATATGCCAGGGACTATTCTATGTTTATATATTTCTCCTCATTTAATTTTCACAAAAATCCTATAAAGCAATTATAATTTTTGTCCCAATTTAAAGAAGAGGAAATTGAGGCCCAGAGATACTATGGTAGAGACAGAGCTGATAACTGATAGGACTGGGATCTGGACCCAGGGTAGTTGATAAGCCAGAACTTGCAATTGAATCATTAAACTGTAATGCCCTACAGAGTGTTGTAATTTCTTTTGAAAAATCATGTTATATACACATCCATACACCTCTATCATTTCTTGAGTTGATATTTGTACTCATTGTACATTAGCTTTCTCTTTCTTGTGTGTTTTTGTGCTTTCAAACTGACTTCCATAGATGAGACAGATTAAAATAGAAAGTTTTTGTTTTATTTCGTTCTGAGGAACAGAACACTTAGAAAATTAGGCACCAAGTTGAAACAGTCTTTTATGACATTCACCAGTCTGATAAATGAATGCATAGAAGTTTTACATTTTTCATTTTAACTTGATGACCCTGTGTTATTTCAGAAATATGCTCAAGAATCTCCCAAGAAACATTTATAATAATAAATGTTTTTTAAAAAAGAACTTCATGTGGTTCTTTCAACAAGCTCCTTGACACTTTTTGTCGGCATGCAAGTGGCTGTATTCTCCTTACCTTGACATGCTGGCTTAGGTGAAATATTGTAGGCATAAAAATTGCATTTGGTAGGTCTAATAGGAAGAGGTCATGTAAAAGTCATCTTTGATTTGTTAATGGAACTTTTTTTGGGGGGGATGTAGTATATGGCTGCAGTGATGTGTACCCTAAGGGAAAAAATGATCCTTTTTATAAAGGTTTATTTTAATATTTTATACACTGTAGTTCTGTTGTGTGTTTTTGATTTAGTAACAATTTATGTGTTTTTCTGTTGCAGAGCACTGCGGCCTGTGGTGTTGAGGCTCACAGCGATGCCATCCAGCCCTGCCACATCAGAGAGGCCGTTCGACGCTATGGCCACAAGATTGGCCCCCTTTCCCCATTCACAGTACGTAATAACAGAGTTATAAAAAGTTATATTTATAATCTGAAAGAATTTTGATTTTCAAGTGGTCAAATGAAGAAGCAGTGGAATTGTTGAAAGCAATTTGTGGTAACCGTAATTTTGTTGTATAAAAGTGGCATAATTCTCTTGGGAAATAAAACTCATTTTTGTCTCTTTTTGAAAGGACAGTTTTTTTCATACAAAATATTATTTTCTTTCAGTTACATATTAAGCTTTTTGTTGGAGCTTATATTTGCTATTTTTCAAAGCTTAAGTTTATAAAAAATTTTGTCAAATTATATGTATTCAAATATTGCCAGAAGCACTTTATATTTTAAAATTGGTTAGATTGGCATTACCACTTCTATCAGATATCCTTCCCCTAAACATACTTTGAGTTGGAAGAAGAAGAAATGATTTTTTTACTTGGCACAGCCTTTCACATCTKCAAATGACCTGAAAGCTTCTAATCGGGCTTTTTTTTTTAAATGAGGAATTAAAGATTTTATATTTTAGCAATATGTTTGGGGTGTTTAATTAAATACTCATCGCCCTTTTTTTTTTACTTTTCTTTTTTTATTTTTTTATTGTTGGTTGTTCAAAACATTACATAGTTCTTGATATATCATATTTCACACTTTGATTCAGGTGGGTTATGAACTCCCATTTTTACCCTGTATACAGATTGCAGAATCACATCAGTTACACTTCCATTGATTTACATATTGCCATACTAGTGTCTTTTGTATTCTGCTGTCTTTCCTATCCTCTAGTATCCCCCCTCCCCTCC